CAAGTCTCGCATCGCAGAGATCCACGAGAGCCGCACGAAGCTGGAGCAGCAGCTGCGGGCACAGGCCTCGGACAACCGGGAGATCGACAAGCGCATGAACAGCCTCAAGCCAGACCTCATGCAGCTGCGCAAGATCCGAGACCAGTACCTCGTGTGAGTGGCCGGCTCTGTGCCCACCGGTCCCGGTCAGCACTGGGGCGCTCAGAGATCTCTACAGGCATCTCGCTCTCCCTGTCTCCACCAGGTGGCCCTTCCTGCCCCGCTCCCCAGACCCCTCATCTGCCCACGAGCCCCTTTGCTGTCAGTCAGGCCTGGAACTCTGTCCCTCCTGGGCCCCTGGGAAGGGCTCCCCATGAGTCAGCCTCAACTTCGCCAGACATCTGGGAAATGGCAACGCGGCTCTCACAGGGTTGGGTTGAGCGCCTTCGGTATACACTCCTGCTGTGCAGGCTGGCACGCGAGGTGGCTGTGGCAGCCTCAGCCTGGGTTCCAATCCCGCCTCCACCCGCCAACCTACTGCGGGCGGTAGCGAGGCCCTCCCCCACTTCTGCCTGAGCCTCAGACGCGCCCATGTGCCTGCTGCGTGCCAAGCTGTGCTGAGCACCATGTCTGTATTGGCTCCTTCAGTCCCTTCTAAGTCTTGTAAAGTTTGTCCTTTGCAGCTGGGGAAACTGAGGTATGGAACAGACAGCTGCCCTGTGCAAAGACCAACAGGGCTGTGCAGCCCTTAGGACTGGGCCTCTGGTGACACTAAGGCCTTGCCGGGGCTGGCGCATTCCAGGGGGTGGGTCCTTAAGTGTTAACAGAGGCAGAAAACTGGGGGGCAGGGTGGGGCTCCCTAGCAGAGTGGGAAGCCAGCCTGGGTTCTCGCTGCCCTAGGCCAGGTCAAGGTTGCCCCCTTGTGGCAACTAGGGGCATCGTGCCCAGAGCGTGCGCTCCTAGGTCAGCAGCCCCTGCCTGCTCCCCGTGGGCTGGGTGGGTGAGATCCCACCTTTCCTCTTCCCCTCAGGTGGCTCACCCAGAAAGGCGCCCGGCAGAAGAAAATCAACGAGTGGTTGGGGATCAAAAACGAGACTGAGGAGTGAGTGACCATCTTGAGGGAGGCAGGGAGGGCTTCCCAGACGAGAGGGCCATTTTGGATGGGTTTTGAAGAACGAGTAGGAGTTCGCCACAGAGGAAGAGTTGTCCAGGCAGTTGGGGGGTGTGGGGGAGCCTCAGGTGCTGGCAGTGAGTGACCAGGCACCCCCCTCCCGCCACGCCCCCCACAGCCAGTACGCACTGATGGAAGACGAGGACGATCTCCCCCACCACGAGGAGCGCACGTGGTACGTGGGCAAGATCAACCGCACACAGGCTGAGGAGATGCTGAGCGGCAAGCGGGACGGCACCTTCCTCATCCGCGAGAGCAGCCAGCGCGGCTGTTACGCCTGCTCGGTGGTGTGAGTGCCTGGAGGCTGGGGGGGCGGGGGGATCCCCGCATTCCTTCCAGAGCTCTCTGTGAGCGCCCACTGTGCGCCAGGCCTCCGGAAGGCAGCGAGGAAGAAGCCCCCAGCGGCTGCCGGGGCGAGGAGGGACCATCTGGGCAGGCAAGTAGGGGGGGCCGCCTGACCTGCCCTCTCGTCGGCCCCCCAGGGTGGACGGTGACACCAAGCACTGCGTCATCTACCGCACTGCCACCGGCTTCGGCTTCGCGGAGCCCTACAACCTGTACGGGTCTCTGAAGGAGCTGGTGCTGCACTACCAGCACGCGTCGCTCGTGCAGCACAACGACGCGCTCACCGTCACCCTCGCGCACCCCGTGCGCGCCCCGGGCCCCGGCCCGCCGCCTGCCGCCCGCTGAGCGCTGCCGAGAGCCCGCCAAGCGGAGCCACCCCGGGCCAGGGCCACGGGACAGACCAGCTGCGCCCAGGGGCCTCCAGCTCCCTGGCTCTCTTTGGGGTTCTCAGCGCACCTCTCTACCCCCGCCTCTCCCCAAGTCTCTCCCCACATCGCTGTCTCCATCTGTCTCTGTCTCCGTGTTGGGGGTCCTGCCTGCCCCCCTTCTCCCTGGGCACTGCCCTCACCGTGCCCCAGCCCCCCGACCCTCTGCCCTGCCCACGACAGGCCCCCCGGGTCTAGGAAGCCCCTCCTGGCTGCACCCGCCATGTTTACAGAGGCCCCCGGGCTGCGCGGCCCCAGCCTGGGCGGCCCGATTTTTAAGCCATAGACCTGGGGTCAGGGCAGGAAGGAACTTCCCTCCGCTGCTTCTAAGAACCTTGGCCGTGACGTTCGGGGCTGGGCGGGACCTGCCCCCACGGACCCCAACTTCCCCTCCAAATCCAGAAGTGAAACCTGCTGCCGACTCATCCCCATCATGGGGCCGCGACGAGAAGTCCCCCCGCCCCACAAAAAAATAATTACAAATAAAGTCGTGAGCCGGCCCCAGCCCCCCCGGACCCGCGGCCCGCGCCGCCTCGGTGGCCGAGATGCGACACTGCCCACGCGCTTCCAGTGGGCGCAGATTCAGGGCGCCTCGATCATGTTGGGTTTTGACTGTCTTTTTCCTTGACTGCGAAGCCCTCTGTTCTCTCCTCTTTGGGGACAAGAGCCCTGCTTTTCTACACTGCCCTTGGCCACCACACTGCCTGCCCGGCCCGCCGGGAGGCGGGTTTTGTACGGTACGTCGTTACGGATATAAAACCTCGAACGCGGTGGATGGTTCTGTCGTCAGTGACTGGGCTTCAGGGCGGCGTCCGCGGGCGGGGGCCCTGGCGTTTACGCGGTCGCAGCGGGCCAGGCCTCAGGTTTAACTCCAGGCCGCCGGCGAGGCCCAGGAACCCCCTCGGCCCTGCTCGTTCAGCAGCCCAAGTCCTGGAAGTGGGGGGCCCTGCCCCAGGTCGCGCGGCAGAGGTTTGACCTCTGGCCTGCTCAGGGGACCCTGGACTGCGACCTGACTCCTTGAGGGTTTCCAGGGCTCCACCCTGGGCCCCCCTGCCAGGTTTGAATCCTGTCGCAGCCACCAGCAGTGACCTTGGGAAAGTCACCTGCTCTGTGACCCGCAGCTTCCTCATTCATCGCTGCACGACGTCAGTAGTCACATGGTGGATGATACCCCCCACGCCACCCAGAAGGGTCTGGTCTCCTATGTCCTTGATGTCCCCAGGGAGCCAGCATCTCCACCAGGGTTTGAGGCCCTCCCGGACCCCTGTCTCCACAGGGCCCCAGCGCTCAGCCCACCAGGTCCGCGGGGCTGCCGAGCGGGGGCTGCAGGGGCTGGGCACGAACAGCACAGCCCGCCTGCTGCAGCTTCCTCTCCGCCTGCCATGCTGCCATGGGTGGGGGAAGGGGACAGCAGCTCATGTGGCGTCTAGCCACGCTCAGCCATCCGCTGTGTGTCCTTGGCAAATTAGCCTCCCCTCTCTGATCAGCCATTTCTTTGTTACCAAGAGGGCTCGGGCGTCCCTGCCCCCAGCACCCACTGGACGCCTCTGAGAATTCAGTGATAAAATGGGTTTGGGGCCCAACCTGTGCCTGGCACAAAAGCAGGACAGCAACCAATTGTGAGGTTACACTTCTGATTTCTTCCATCAGGGCTGGTGCTTAGTAACCACTGGAAAAATTGTAGCAGTTCTATTTGTTGTTAGTTCTCCAATGGGCCCCGCCAGTTGTGAAGCGGAGACTGTGAGAAGGAAAAGGCTTTGTGAGGGGCTGGGCCATCTGAGGGACAGGGTGGGGGTACATCCCGCCACTGGCACTTCAGGGGAGCCCTGGCTCCCAACCCTGCTGCTACGTGTGGGGACACGTCCTAGCTGGGCCCCCCAGAACTGGAGGGGGACACAGGCTGCAGAGCTGGGGTCTCAGCTCCATCTCCCAGCCAGGTTTGGGGCGTTTCCTTTGTGGGATCCGGTCCTGTGTCCTGCCCTGCATCTGAGACCGGCAGTCTGGACGTCTCGCGGTCCCCCCAACACCCCCAGCCTCCACCCAGCCCTTTCGGGAGCTGCCTTCGCTGCCGGCTGCGGCCTGCGTGGGCACCTCCCAGGCCCCCAACACCCAGCCTGGGGAACTGTCCCCCTGCCTCTGAGCCCTCCGTGGCGGCTGTGACTCCCAACCTCACTGTTTTGCCCATTATTCAGAAGGAGAGACTGAGGCTCCATCTCTTGAGGACCCCAGCAGAGTCCAAAGTCAAACTGGGGGCCAAGCTGGTTCCAGGTAGACTGTCCCTCATGGCCACCCCCACGTCCCCTCTCACGGCTGGCACAGCCTCCCTTCTCTCCCCCACGGGAGTCCTCTGAGGGTCAGGAAGGCCGCGCTCCCCCTGAGCCTCGGACCCGGGAGAGAAGGAACACGGCTCTCCTCCCCCCAGCCCCACGCCAGGGTGGGGCCCCCAGAGAAGTGAGGCTCCCCTCCCGCGCCGGCTTCTGCTTTCCAGCCCAGCTGTGGCCAAGCCTGAGTCAGCCCCGCGGGACGGGAGATGGGTCCGGAGCGCCCGGTGGGGAGGCCGAGGGGGAGAGGGCAAGGGCAGGTCCTGTGCCCTCGGCCTGACGGGGGCTCCCAGGCCAGGCGGGGTATCGCCCCCATAGCGCGCCGGCTCCATCCCACAGAGTGTCCCCAAGGCTAGGGACCAGGGCCAGGAGCACCCTAGGCGCCCCCAGAGGGTCCTGGGCACGCGGAGATGCCCCCATCTCTCCCGGTCTCCCTGCAGGTCTGGCTCTGAGGGTGCCACCTCCCCTCCCCTGGTCGCCCAGAGCCTCATGTGACGGGCAGGGCTGACTGCCAGGAATGCAAAGGGGCGTCGAGGGCACCTGGACGCCTCATGACTTGGGCCCAGCACCTGGCAGGGCTCGCGTTGGAAAGGGAGACGCAGAGAGGAAAGCTGAGGTCCCACGGACAGACGGACGCCAGGATCCCGGAGATGCTGGCCAGGGCCCTGGGGGCGTGGGCACGGGGAGGCGGGCCCAACTTGGGGGCCGGGCCACCGCCTGGTTAAAGGCGGCTCGTTCTTCCAGCAGCTGCTCCCACTGCCACACCTCTGACCCCGCGGGGATGGCCCTGCCACCGCTCCTGCTGCTCCTGCCCCTGCTGCCGCTGCTGGCGGACCCCGCGGCCGCGCGGGCGTCACTCGCGCACCAGAGGCCAGGCACCTGCAAGGTACGGACAGCAACGGGGCAGGCCGGTCAGAAAGGACCGGCAGCCTGTTGGGGCAGGCGACTCCTCCGTGCTCCCCAGACCCACAGGGGACAGTCGGGCCCGGGACAGGACGCTGTTCTGGCTGGTGCTGAAACCCCCTTCCGTCCCGGTGGCCGCGCTCTCTGCCGGTCCTTTCGCTTTCTCGTCCCATGTCTGGGACACGCAGCTTTCCCCTGCCCGCCCCGGCGGGGATTCACTGAGCGCCCGCTGTGTACTTCTGGGGCAGGAGCTGGGTCCCCTCAGAAGGCCGGGTGCTCAGCGCTGCCGGTGGCCCCGGCTGCGGGCCCGTCCCAGCCCGGAAGGGCTCGCGTGTTTCTGGGACGCAGCAAACGCGCCCCGGAATCTGAGCAACTGACTCTTGGCTCCAGAGACGCAGCCGCCTGCCTCGCTCTGCTGAAGCCGGAAGTCAGCATGTATTAGTCGCCACCTCTGTTCATTCGAAGAGGTTCACGTGGGTCCCTTGAGATGAAGAATAAATCAGTCCACTTGGGTATAGAGCCTTGCTCAGCTCAGGGTCAAGGTTCTGGGGGTGAAGTGGCAAGAAATGCGCATGCATTAGGCTCTGTGGTATGTGCCTCCGAAAAGGCAATGACCAGGAATGTGCATTCCTTGAGCCCTTACTGTATGCAGTTCTTCTGGGAAAGGAATTTCACCTGACCTGGAGGAAAGGAAAGACTGTGCGTACATTAAGTGCCTACTGTTTGGAAGTCTGTGTCATGACCCTTTTGCTAACATACTGAGGTTTAGGAAGGTTTAGGGACACAGCAAAGCCTCAAAGTGAAGATTCCCCTGGTAAGGTCTAGAAGGGGTGCAAGGTGAAGCACCTACTGTTTGCAGTTCCCTTTCTAGAAGAATACCAAGCAGGGCTCAGAGAAAGAAGGGAGCTGCCCAGGACGGCACCTGATGACACCTTTTCCTTCTCTGCAGATGAGTGAACTGTGCCTGCAGTCACCCGTCAGGAAGTCTGACGCGTCACTCGTCAACGTGACCCTCTACTACGAGGCTCTTTGTAACGGCTGCCGGTACTTCTTGGTCCGAGAGCTCTTCCCAACATGGCTTTTCGTCAAAGAGATCCTCAACGTCACCCTGGTGCCCTACGGAAACGCTCAGGTGCGTGGCACTGGGGAAACTGAGGCACGTGGGCAGGGAGCAGGCACCCAGCCTGCCAGCCAGCACTCGCTCTGCTGCCTTGCAGGAAAGGAATGTCAGCGGCAGGTGGGAATTCGAGTGCCAGCACGGGGAGCAGGAGTGCAGGCTCAACAAGGTGGAGGTGAGAGACCCCAGAGGCCGGGCGGGCTGCGCAGGTCTGGGGACACTGCCTGCTGTGCGCGAGGCGGCTGCGAAGCTCTTGGCTCCGTCCCCACTCGTCACTCAGCGCAGCCTCAGAGGGCACCTGTGGTTATTCCCAGAGGGTGTTGGGGTGCTCTGGGCCCCCCTCACTCCGCTCCTGTTCCCCCGCCGGCGCCCAGGCCTGCCTGTTGGACATGCTGGAGGCGGAGGTGGCCTTCCTGACCGTCGTCTGCGTGGAGGAGTTGGATGACATGGAGAAAAATCTCAAACCAGTAAGTGACACCCTCCTTTGACAGGAAGAGGGGGACAGGGCGGCAGGCGGCCTTTCCTGTGCCCGGGCAGACACAGGTTCAAGTCCTGGCCCTGCCCACCCCTGTCTGTGCAGCCCCAGGGAAACAGCCTCCCCTCTGGAAGCCTCATCTCTGAATCAGGGGAACACAGGTCTCCCGGGGTCAGGAGTGGATCTGGGAGGACTTCTTGGAAGAGGCATCTCTGAGTTGGGCGTGGAAGGATGACCAGGAATGTGCAGGGACACGGATGAAGGGGTGTGGACATGATAGGACAGGCCCAACCTACTTCCCTGGGGGATTGTGAAAATTAACTCCCTAAGGACTGAGTCATCTGCTACCATCATTTGTTCATTCACCAAACACGTGGACCACCTAAGACGAATCACTCAGAGACACCCCCAGGCCTGTAGGGTCAGACTGGGTCTGGTCAGAGAGGACACTGAGGAGACGCTGGGGAAGAAGGAGGAAGGGTGTTCCCGGCAGAGGGATCGGCATGTGCGGAGGCTCTGAGGACAGTGTGAGACCATGGAGGTCAGAAGCTGCAGGTCTGGTCTTAAAGGGGACGGCAAGGGGGCTGGGAGGCAGCAA